AGGCCAAAATACATAAGAAACAAATTGTGACATTGAATGTACATTTTTTTTTTAATTTTGTAAACTGCTGTAATAACAATTTTGTTACATCAAATTCAACAAAAACATTTACGAAGATATTTAGACAGACAAGTGTCTTTAATCCTAAGATGGCGTCCGGGGTTAAAGAAACTCAGTTTGGATTTAAATTTCATATGATTTAAACTAGATGAATTGAAATCTTAAAGAATAATCATTTTTTTAAGAACAAAAAAAGAGAATATGTGTAACTTTGCTGTAATATTACACCGTGCGGATAGCTGTAGATGTTTTTTCTAAAAATGTTCAAAATCATTTGTTGTCAATTTACGAAGACCTTTCTAAAGATAATCTATTAGAAAGATGTTCAGGTGGACTTACGCAAAACTCCAACGAAAGTTTTAACGCAACCATTTGGCGTCTTGCACCAAAACATCTTCATTGTGGCTCAAAAACTGTTGAATTTTTAATGAAGGATATTATACCATATTAAAAATAATGGAAACGATGAGCATCGTGATTAGACACGAATGTAAAATATTTGCAGATTCTCGTATCAAGAAACGGCTGCAACATGCGGAGCGTCGTACTTTAGAGAGCACTAAAAAAGCTCGAACGACCAGGAAAATGGAAGAAACGAAATAACAGAACCATGTTGAGAAAGAAAAAAGCTTATTTTATGGTCACGAAATAGAAAATTAAATGTTCACATCGATTTTTCAGCTGTAGATACCGTAAAAATTGGCCAAAAACTTTAAACGCGATTATCTCGAAACTACGTTTTTCAAATTGGTGCCTAGGATAGGGCAAAAACTAATCAATCAATCAACTTCACACAAGGCTTAATCAATTCAATATAAATTTCTTCTGGGAATAATAATTGTTGGTATAAACCAACAATTTAAATTGTATTGTTTATTTAACGACATTTTTAGTGGGAATATGTGATCGATTTTTGTATCGAAAAATTCATTTTTTCTTCAAAACGTTAGGATTTTTATAATTCTACATGTTTTTTTTAACAAGTAGTATAACCCCAGCATAAGCTATCTAATTTTAAGAAAAATTTTCATTTTTAGGTATCCGATGCTTCTAACAGGTGCTACACTAGACACCAACAATCCGAAAGTGTTTGGCATGATTATTTAATAATAATAATAATAATAATAAAAATAAATGTACATGTCGAATTGAGTAACTTCCTCCTTTTCAAAGTCAGTTAAAAAAGAAGTTGCTTCAGTTAATAGAGGATTCCAGTGTAATAGCTTTAGAAATAGCCCAGATAGCACAGGGACGTCTTATGTACGTCCATGGGACGTCCGGTGCTGGACATTTCCAGAACGTTTTCTGTACGTTCTCTGTACGTCCATGGGACGTCCGGTGCTATCTGGGATGACTATTATGAGTTTTTTTTTGGAAAACTATTAATAATTCCCAAATAATCTTTCTTGGGATATGATTAGGCATCCATGAAATAGAGAAAACATTTTTCTTGCCATGTTCTGTATTATTTATTGAGTATACATCAGGGTTTGAATTATAACCAATTACAATTATTAAATTAAATAATTAATTTAAACAAATTTAATTCAATGAACTTAATTAATAAATATTTTAAATAAATGTAATTAAAAATTATTTAATTAAAATTGAATTAAGTAGAGCTAATCGGAAGTTGTTTAATTGACGATTGATATGAGCGAATTTAATCGAAGATGTTCAATTGACGATTACTTTAAGCAGAATTAATCGAAAATCGTTCGATTGACGATTGATTTCGATCGGTTAATTCCTTCCCGAGTTACAACATACAATAGGAATTTTCCAATAACAATAGTTATAAAAAATGTTTAAATTGATAAATTTTTGCAAATGGAATCATCGCGAAAACCTGGCCGACAACAAAATGTGAGGCGTAGCATCGATTTTATCGATTTCAGGCCAAACATATATGAAATAGTACTCTTCTTGCGATAAAAGTGATATAAAGTGGTAAAAAATAAAACAAGGCCACAGATTACAAAATGGTAAAGGATTTTTCGATTTATATTGCCACAAAGACATAATCGTGAAAAAAGATTCCACATATTTGTTAATACCCTGTATAATATTTGTACGGCTGTAAATTCCATTTATTTCTTCATCAAATTAGAATTTAATTAATAAAGTATGACACATTGGCATTAGTAACAAAATATTATTATATTCACTTTTATTTATTTGGAGTACATTTATCGTATAGAATGCTGGTTTATTTACAAATACATAGAAATACAATTTCAAGCAGTAACTCTTCCTAACGTGTCTGCATATTGAAACTCTGAACTATTTTCATACTCGCACATATCTAATGCAATTATGCAACTTTCTCGTACAACTCTTTTATTATCATTCAGATATTTATTCAATATACTGAAACAATCTGGAGTTGCAATGGAACCCAATGCTTCTGCACACTCGTGTCGTACCATTTCATTTTCTTCTGTGTCCTCTAAAGTAGCTTTCAGGTATGGTACAGAAATTTCTTCCTGTAATTGTCCAAGAACAAAAGCTATTTCGTGTCTAAATAAGGCACTGCCTGCTTTTAAACCTGTTAAAACAAACAGTAAATACTTTTAATAGAATACAATTTTTAAATATTATAACCACATTGACAATCTGCTAGACTCCATGCAAGTCAGATCAGTTTTGAATTAAAAATCTGCTAAATACAGAAGAAGTATTGTCTGTACCAGTAATCTAACAAATTTTTTTGAACAAAGATGTACAGTAGAATTCTATTTATCCGAATCGACGACGCCACGGTACTCACTTATCCGAACACTTTGGTAAGCTCACATTATTTGAACTCCGCTCATCCAATGTATCGCTTATGGGAATTCGTGAACTCCAGTTATCAGAACCTGGTTATCCCCCGACCGATTCGGATAAGTGGAGTTCTACTGTAGTTGCTTTTTAAAGTCAATGATCCATCGTTATCATATGTATGGGCGTTTGAGTCGTATTCACAATTTTAAATATGGAGAGTCAATGTGTAAAAAGGAAAAGAAATCATTATTATATTTACCTTCGCTAAGCGCAAGGATACTTTTTTGTGTACGTATATTTCTTAAGGAAAACATAGTTCGATATCTTTCAAATAAAGGAATGGTTTCGTTTAAGAGGATATCCCTTAACTTATCAACATCAGATATTTCAGCTGGTGGTGCTGGGTCTACTGACATATAAGGACTTTTTTCTAAATTTACTGGAGTATAATTTGATTTTAACCATCGCAATCGACATAATGCTAACTGACAGGTCTCTGCTACTTCTGGTACGCAATCTTTACTGTAGTCTTCTAATATTGGTATTACACTAGTTTCACCAATTGCACCTAAAGCTTCACCTAATATAAACATAAAAGAACTGAATTGCTTATCTCATTTGTTATTCAATCTGCATGAAGTACAGATGAAATCAAACATACCAAACTATTGAGTGTATATAATGAACAGATCAGACAAAATATTTAATGTACATAACGAATGACCAAAACAAAGTATTCAGACTATAATCTTTTAGTTTGTTAAACAAATATACAGTATATCTTCAACTTACACAGATAATTTGATCCATAGCTCTTCAAGTAAACCAAATATCATGCAAATCAATTAGTGTAAATAAAATGTATTTTAAGGAGAAATATATCAGTTCTGAGTTACAAATAATGTGGCATCATAAATAAAACAAATGTAAACATTGTCTAATAATTTTGCCTTTATTTCAAACCTTACAAAGGCTGATTAACATGTCTGATCCAATACAACTTAAAATTCTTTCAAGGACCGAGCTTTTATTCTCACTATAATACATTTAGTATACAATCTAAGTTTCAAAAGTTAATTGATAAATAAAATATTTAAGTACATACACATGAATAAAATATGTATAAAGCCATACAAATCTGCATAAATCAAAATTAAATACCTTAAAGGATCACTATATACTGTGTGTACTTCATATTAGATTGTTTTGAATTCATTCGTCTTGTATAAAAAAAAAAAACAATAAATCAAGAACTTATTTACGATTTTGAAGACAATACGGAGATACTCTAACATAAAAACACCACGCTAATAATTCACTTGACATATGTAATCAAGAAACCTTTTTTCAAATATGATTTCATTGACAGTGAAAAAATAAATCTATAAAAGCAGTGTACCATCACAATGTAATGATTGACGATGAGATAAGAAAAGATGCAACTTATTATTGCCAAGAATAGAACCCATCATATAAGAAAAACTTATTATTAGAACACGGATGTTTATACAAATTCATATTTTGACTACTTCAGATAAAGAATTGTGATTTAAATGAAAGTATGTCTCATCTTCTAAGCAGTGTAACATAAGCTTTATTCTTGATATTTTATATAGTTTTGCATCCATGGGTGTCCTCGTACATTTTCCTATGTTTTTGCTTGGCATAAATGCATAAACATCCGCAGTTTATTTATTATTATACACGAATAGAAAAATGTATATAAAACAATCTTTTACACTACTTATAAGAAATACAATGAATTTTAATAATAAATAGTCATTCGTTAAATTGTATTTTATAATTTTATCAAACACTGGAAGAGTTTAATTACAATTTTTGCACAGGAACAGAGCATACATTAAAATTAAATATAATATACCTGCTTCGTGGCGAACCATTGGCTCTTGTGTAACATCTTTTAATACCTCTATTAAAATGGGTATAGCATAAGGATCTTGCATCTGACCAAGGCAATATGCAAGTTCGTGTTTTAGTAAAGCTGATTCATCTTTGAAACATTTGCGAATTTGTTCAATAGCTTTAGAACCACCAATATTTTTTAAAGTAAATAATGCACGAAATCTTTCTTTCAATGGTCGATTCTTGTCGTTTAAAACACGACCTATAGCAACAATTTGATTTTCGCTCACTTCCAGCATATTGTTTTTTTTCTTCAAATATTTAACTAATTTTTCCAACCTTGAGTTAAATGATTGCTACAATGATAATTTATAAAATTTTAGAAACCGTGTCAATTTCAATGTTCGTTTAACTGACAATTACGACAATTTTCACGGTTCAGAACACCCTAAAACGGTAGGTTATACACGGGAACGTTTGAGTTAAATCCGGATAGGTTAGATCACATGTTCACTTAACTCAGAAGCTCAGAACTACTCAGAAGGCAAACTAAACGTCACAAAAATACGTGTAATCGTATACTATTATATTCGTATTTAAGAATCTAATCCTAATTCACTTGTAAATATGGCGTTTAGTAGATTAGACAGAGTTGGAACAATTTACACAAGGTACAATTATTTTATATCTACTTTTTCTTTGTTTACAAATTTTGCACAAAATAGGTTATGTATTGTAGTAAAAAGTATTATACATATAGACTGTATATAAAATTATTATTGCATTTATACGATATGCACAAAATTCGAGCTGTAACAAAAGAAATATTATTTTATTGGAATGAAGTAGAGTATAAATCTTACTACTTTAAATATATCATATAATACTAAATAAATTTCAGAATATCATCATTAATTAAAGGTGGCACTATGGAAGAAAGTAGTATACCTATATGGTATACAGTATATGAAGCATTTCCCCCAAAATATGAGCCACAATACGGCAGACCAGGTTCACAAAAGCCTGTGAGAGATATTTTTTACCCAGAAGACTTAATAAGAGCGTAAGCAAGATTTAAACATAAAATTGATATTCATAATTGGTGAATGTGATTATGTTTAAAATATGCTTTTATTTCATAGAAAACTCCATAAGGATTTCAAGTTCTTACCAGCAATGGACTTAAAAAGTAATAAAATTTGCCCTACTCAACTATTCCTTGCAAAGTACGAAAATTTTAAAAAGGTAATATGTAATAGAAGTTACTAGAAACCTTAGAAAAATTACTTAGAATTATTAATTTGCATTTTATGTGATGTTTGCTACATGTACTTTTAAAATAGTTCTATTTCTGGTTGTTTCATTACATAGTCGCAACTTTGGTTATACAAGATCGATTACCAAAATAAATTGTTTCCCTATTACTTAGGATAATCAATGTGCTGTCATAATCTCAATAAATAAATAAGTTATATTTCTAAGGCTACATATTTCAGATAATACCTAATGAATGTTATATTTAATACTGTATTCAATTGATCACAGGATGGGTTTTCAGAACAAGAGGCATATGAGAAAGCAATGCAAAACTTTACAGCAATGCTTGCAGATAGTAAGTTAAGAGATACATCAGAATCATCAAGTAGTAATAAAACTAAAAGTACAACATAAAGAATTATATTGTTTCATGTGTTTTTGTAATAATACAATAGACTTCCTTAAAAAATGAAATTAAACCACATACATCATATGTATTTAGTTCTCATTATTCATACTATTTGTTTAATATTGTACCAATGTTAATAGAATAAAATATTATTAGTACAAATAGTAATTGTATACATACTTCATTCAATGTGAAGATTAATTCTAATGAATAGATTACAGATGTTTATGCAAATTCATATTTCAACAGATATAGATATAGAAGAGAAATTTAAAGTACTTCTTTTGTTCTACGCAGTGTAACATATACATTATTATTAATATTTTATATATTTTTGCATTCGTATATATCCTTATACATTTTTCTATATTTCCACTTGCATACAATAAATGTATAAACATCTGCAGTTTACTAATAATACAACCACGTAATTTGAAACAGGATCAAAACGGGAAGATGTTGCATCCTAAATATAATAGATACTAATTTTATAGAAATTTTACAAATAATGTATAATATTAATAGTTGTCCAATGAAAATATATAAAAATATGAAATAATGTATTACAAACATAAATATATTTTAAAAAACATACACTGAATAAAATGGTTTTAGAAATGGAAACATTTACATATTACCAAAGTCATACTTTTAGAGAGTGCGTAACTTTATATGTATCTAGGAATATCAATTTAATTATGTAACAAATAAAAAAAATTTCTTTTCTAAAAATTTTAGATCGATATTTTTAATAATTTTAAGCAAACATTGAAATGAAATACATTAAAATGTTATGTATGCGATATTTTGTTTGTGCCAACTGCCAAGATAGTTTCAAGGGCGGGAATGTGTGGGAAATTCAAAAATGGTTCTCATTGTTAGTATTCTGTGATATTCGGTGCGACCTTTCACTATCATAACCTTTAAGACAACATTTTTTACTTCTATAGAAGAATTTATGGTCTTCATAGGTGAATTATACATAATCTGAAAAGTCAAAAGTAACTTTCAGTTTTATATTATGTAAAACAAGTTTGATATCGTCGCTCTAACAAATTTGTTAAGAAGTGATTATTCTATTGTGCGTTACGTGTAACACGTTTAATTTTCTAAGCAAGCTTAACGGTTGAATTTAAAATGTCTATGAGAAAAATTTATTCATTGGTATTTGTTAGGAAGACAACAGAAATTTTACTAGGTTTAAAAAAACGAGGATTTGGAGAAGGTAAATGGAATGGTTTTGGCGGTAAAGTAGAAGCAGGGGAAACAATTCTTCAGGGAGCCATTCGGTAAGTTGTTTAAACAATTTCTTATCAATTTGTATTTTGCATACACTGAGCGTAGCGTATATAATTTAATGTTTAATAGTGATTGTATTACTTTCAAGTAGAATTCGTTTTAATAATAAATCAAGAATATCATATTTAACAACATTTTTTTATTTCGCAAAAATCACATTAAATAACAATGAATCTCAACAAACACTTTTACTGTCTTTATGTAACAGCATGCAAGATGAATCACAGAAATATTTGCAAGATTTCAAAATAGATATAATTTTTTGTTCAATACTATATTAGCTATTAATAGTGTTTGCATTAAGTATTTTAATATTAATATAAAAACTTTTAACAATGAAATTGATATACATGAGTTTCTTAGTGTGTATTCAGTGTACTTTAGAATGATATACATACGACAATATAATTTCATAATTTCAATACAGTACTATACATTATTAAATTATTTCTTAATTGTGTCATTGCACATCTAATATTAAAAGTTAAACTATGCTTAAAAAGAAATACATGAATCATTTTCTATGAATCACCTTGTATGAGTAGGTACAGATTTAAATAATTAAATAAATATAAAGTATTACGCATAAATTAAAATTATAACATGAATTAATAAAATTATAGAAAAAACAGTTAAACAATATATGTGACATCAAATTGCATATGAGTATTACAGTATTTCCATCACATATATATTAGATAAGGAGTGTAACTAGTTAGTTTCTCAAGTGTTTTTTTTTCAAATATTACAGTGAATTAAAAGAAGAATGTGGTTTATCTGTAAAGGATTTGAAAAAAATCGGTCTCTTAGAATTTGAGTTTGAAGGAAATGAGATTCTATTAGAGGTTCATGTCTTTGAAACATATCAGTACCATGGAAAAGTAATAGAATCTGAAGGTATTTAATTCTTAAGAATTAAGATTTCAACTAAAATAGAGTTACATCATTATCCAAACATTCATTCTTATCATTAATCATATACATACGTTGTTTGCTATTTCATTGCTTATAAAATACTTCTATATGTTGACAATGGTATCCTATATAATAATTTTATATTTGAACAAGTAGTAGGTTCAGAATTTTATTTTGGTTGACCTAAGTAATGATGAGTAATTACTAATTATGTAACCAATAAGTGAATTATTTATACAACTTCGTTTGGTTATACAAGCAATGTTCTTGACTATATGTTTCTAATGATAATAGAGATGAGGAGATATTATTTGAAGTTTTCCCATGTTTATTACATATGAAATGTATATGTATAATATTTTGGCTCTACTATAATAAAGTTCTTTCAAGTAAGTACACTTGATTTTTAGAAACCATAATTATAAAGCTAGTTAAGAAGATTGCTTATATTGCAGAAGAAAGAATAATCTGCCTACTTCTTACATAATTACTAATTTCACATTTAATTTTACATATGAAACTGTGTATGAATGTTTGGATTGTACAAATTGTGTAAATAAATTAAAAGAAAAACTGGAAATGTGCTCAAATTAAAGTTTGAAGAAAATATGTAACACATGACGTTTTATCATAAATAATCATTATCTGTTTAAAACTATAATAAATACATTGTACACTATACATAATCTTTATCCATATGTATATATGTGTCTATGTACACATCTTTTTTTAGAAATGCAACCAAAATGGTATAGTTTAAAAGATATACCTTTCAAACAAATGTGGCTAGATGACAAATATTGGTTTCCTTACATGTTACGAGGGGAATTATTCAAAGGATATTTTTTGTACCGAAGTCAGGACCTAATCCTTAAGTATAATATTGAAACTGTGGAAGAACTACCAGTAAATTGTGTCTCTTAATTATATTTGTTAACACTCATATTTCACATTAAACTTTCATACATTTATCCACTTATTTAATTATTTTAATTATTTAAAAAAATGCATTTTTACATTTTTATAATTATAATCAAATTTGGCTTTGCAGTAATTTAATAACCTTTTTAATACTTGAAAAAGACTTATAAGCAATAATTATACAAATATGTTGCACAGATATATTACTTGCATCTGGAGCTTTGCATTATGTAAAAGCGTACACATTAAACTATCTATCTATTGTAAATATAGAGAAAGTTTAATGATGTTATAGAGATCATCAAATAAATTTTTTTAATATATTGCGAGGTCAATAATTTCTTCTCTACCATTTTTTATCAAATCAATTCACTATTATATTGCAATCCTAAGTATAGAGTATAAATATACCCAATAAGGTAGTAAATTTATAAAACTATATTGTGTTGCATCACGAAAAGATAAAAATATCCTGCTTAAATTACGCTTGTTCTCCAATTAAGTTTACAGAAAGTTTTTGATCAAGCACCGTACAGCTTGGACAGATTAGAGAATACATGTTTATAGCTTCAGTGCAAGAGATTTTATATGAGGCAAGGTAGAAAGCTTAAAGTCTATATACTAAAGTATACCATGGACGTATAGAATTTTCAACCAGTTATATCACTCTTAATCTTTGCACCATGAAGCACTCTTAACATTATGCTTTTAGAGAAAGTTATAATTAAGCAGCTGACCAATGTTCAGATCTCCATAAAAGAGCATACATACTATGCTTAAGATCGTCTGCATCTGAACAATCAACTGGAAAATCTGTGTATCGTGAAATTAAACTTCTATAACCTTGGCCTACAGTTGCCAGTACTAACTTCTTTTCATCTGCTGATTTAAATGATATTATTTGACATACTTTACCCTCGAAAGGTCTAAAAACAGTAATTGGCCTAAGAGAGATACATTCAGCTACTACAATACATCCCCAAGTAGTACCAATATACAATTGATTTCTACAAGTTTCCAAAGCTGTTACTTGGCATTTTTCTGTTGATAAATTTTCTTCTATGGAAATAGACTTGAGACTCTCTGAACAAGGTACTAATTTTGACATATCTAATTTATTTATTATATGCCTGGTATCTACATCCCATTGGTAGACAATACACCCAGGGTATGTATATGATAAAATTGAATTTTCAGCACTTAATAAATATGTAGCAAATAAGTTTTTCATAGCTGCCTCTCCAGTAGCATGAAAAACTTGTACTGTGTCTATTAAATTGTTGTCTTTTAAGACATAGATTGATATTCTACCAAAACTTTGTCCAACCCATAATTCCAATATACGTTTCTTTTTATAAATAGCTGCCAAGGAATATGTCTTTATATTATCTTGTATGTCAGTCACGACTTCTACTTTTTTCATTTGAGTGAAAGAGTTTGATAATAAAAAAATTTTTCCACTATGTAATGCTACTACAAATTGTTTTATTTGTTCCAAATATATTAAACCCACTACTTTAGATTCTTTACGGTGATCAGGTTCAAGGTTGTAACTAGCAACACAACCAAAATTACTGCCTAAATAAACATGTACTTGACCTGCATTATCCCCAATCCAAATATATCCATCTACTCCGCACATTGCATATGGTATTATAGGGGTTTCAATTCTAACATGCTGTAACCAACCTTTTTGTGTTCCCAGTAACATATCAACTTCACCATTATTATGCCCAAACCAAATTTCATCACCATTTATATTTTCTTCTATAGTCCTATTTGTCATGGTAATCGCAGTTACTTGCGTTCTTTCCGTTAATACTATTACATCTATAAGATGTGTAAATTCAGGTGCAGATGCAATGGAAACTATTTGGCTAGCAGTTGGTCGATCTTTTGGGTTTTGAGCCCAACATATAACCATTAGATCAAGAGCATAACAAGGATGAAATGTTTCTCTGTATGATAATGGTGGTCTTCCACCTTCTAAAATACATTCTTTAACTGCTTCATGGCCTTCAAATGGTTGTCTTAAAGTAATCAATTCATATACAAACATTCCAAATGAAAAAGAATCAACTTTCTCGGTATACTCTTCTTCGCCATTATACTTAATAATTTCAGGTGCCATAAACCCTTCTGTTCCACCAAATCCTTTAGCACCAGTTGGTAATGTTAGTCTGGATATACCATAATCGGCTACTTTAACATGGACAGGATGTTCAGGATGATTTTGAAAAGGTAGAGGCATTTGCCACACTAAAACATTTTCTGATTTTAAATCTCTATAAATTACATGTTGCTGATGAAGATACTCTACAGCTTTTGCTACTTGAAGAATTATAGCTTGTAATGTATATGGGTCTAATTTAGCACCTGAACGTCTGTAATTTTTTAAAACACTATCTAATGCACCTCCTGGCGCTAAATCTAATACCAATGCGAGTGGACTAACCACTATGCCAATTAATGGTACAATATTCGTGTGTCTAAGCGTTAACAAAATATTTAATTCTTGTCTAGCAGTACAGTATGCTTTGCAAGCGTATTGTAAGGGATCTCGATCCCATTTACTTTGTGCAGCCTTGTAAGCTAGAATAGCAGACTGTTTTGAATTTGGACCTGGTGGAACTGGTTGTAGCATTTTTATAGCAATATCAGCTCTTTGATATGTTCCAGGTAAACGACATACTCCTTTAAAAACAAAGCCAAATGCGCCACGACCTAACAGTTTCCCTAATTTAATATCTTCTGATTTTATTAAATGTTTTGCTCCAAGATCCATAAAAATAATATCTGGTGCTACATGCGATAATGGTATATCAGAGTGTTTAGGACAACTAATTGGTTTATTACTGTAGGCAGATAGAATACACTCTTCAACCATCCAGGAATATGCTAAAATACCTTCAGAATGCGCATTTTGTTTAGCAATATCTGGGTGACCTTCTAACGATGGCATTCTACTTGATGTTAAGCTATCATAGCCTACTCCACTATCACCATCCGACTTATAACTATCCTGACTTTGTCTTTCTTTATTTACATAATATTTTTGAATATCTTCGACTAACCGATCATTATCGCTAATTTCGTTCTCGTTTTCTCCATTATTTAGTAAACATCGAGGACACGGTATTAACCGTGTGACCAATAATTTACCCTCGGATGTGTGCACAAACCGTGTTCCTAATGTAGGATACCAATCCTCTAGTAAAATATCAATATGATCGACTATTAATGCTAGTAATTGTGGCATGCTTTCTGGACGAGGTTCAACTACAATTGCTTGATAACCCATTGGTTCTTCATCCACCGAATCAGACATGATCGGTTGCTTAATTACCAATGTGTCAACTGGAAACCAAATTTCTAAAATTGCCGAATTTTTAAAATCTACATTGCACCATATGCCATCTTGCTTTAACTTAAACTTATACTGTCTATAATCATACGGTACGTTTTTCAAATTGTAATTGACTTCTTTCAGACGTAGTAAAGTAATATTAGCATACCTTAGTTCTATTCCTGTTTGCCAAAGTACCCATTCTGCTTGCATATCTAACAAACTTATAAAAATATTATCATCGACAAAATCTTTAAACGGCGCTAAAAACGACATCACAATTTCAACAATTGCATCATCGGCTAAAATTCTAGTTATGAGCCTCGACCAGAAGCCGCTTGGAAAGTAAGACATCAGGAGCAGTCTTGTAACGGAGCAATCCGGTTGTGATCTAGATGTCAACACGCATTCATTGTTTGTTTTATCTCCGGGTGAGTTTTGAAATGTTATCATTGGAGAAGCAATTTTTTTACAACGCATATGCCAACTTCGCGTTTTTACTGGGATTTTTATCACTTGATTACTTCTTAAAATATCTTCTTCAGTTGGCAATAAAGAAGGAATTAGTAAAGTCCGATAATCCCACGTTAATGCAACTTCAAACTTATTTAACAAACTAACGATATATCCTTGTGTGTCAATGGATGATATCGTTGATGATTTAAAGACGTGCTGAATGTCATCTAGTTTCATTATACCAGATCTAGCAAACGGATTAATTTCACGTATCGTAACTACGTGTGCCAACATGTCACAAAGCCATTGTGGATCAAGGAAGTATAAATCTTTCAGAGTGGCGTCATCATAATGCAAAATAATGCCATTCTCATGAAGGAAAAGCGTCGCCTGATGTAGCTCAGCAGGATCTCTGAACGATCTATGTAATTTCTGAAGTTCGTTATTTACTGCTGTATAGTATTGGTCAGCTTTCAAAACCGGATCACCGCCGGATAGTTTTCTATCGTGCGCAAGTTGTATTACTACATCTTCCAAGGCAAGATAACTGGAAGGAACTTTTTGTTCGAGTAGCAATTCTTTGCTTCCAGGCGATCTGAGACTGAAAACAACGTCGTATATCAAGTTGCACAGCATCTTTATGTTGTGTTTCGTTTTACAGCTTACTTCGATAGTTTCCATGACTTTTGGTAAGCCACATTTCTCAGCATCGACAACATTTATAAACTTATCGCGAATGTATTGTTGTAAGGCTTCGCTATGTTCGTATGATATATCATAATGAGTACCAACAATAATTACTGGAGTATTAGGCGCTCTACTTTGAATATTTACCAACCACTGAAATATTTCAGAGACTCCTTTAAAGCCATCTGTAATTCTCCATACAACCAAATACAGGCTACGCTTAGATAAAAAATATTGATGCGTTGCATAGTATTCCCTTTGTCCACCAAAGTCCCATGTTCGAAAGTAAACAGGCCCGTGAGACGATTGACCTCGCATTTTTTTCTCATAAATCCAATCTCCGATGTCGACACCAACAGTAGATATCGTCGTTCCCCTGGCAGTTTTTGCGTTAATATTTTTATTACCCATTCTTTTTGCCCAATGCTCGGAAGCTTTTTTCTTATTTGGTACCTCACCTTCTTGTCTTAGTTGCTCCAACAAACTTGTTTTCCCAATACCTTGTATTCCCACAATCATTAACTTCATTCGAGCATACGGTTTGGCATCTTCTAGAATTGACTTTAAGTAACCGATAACATCCATTGTCTTATATTTTTTCGATTCAATCATTGTCTTTAAAGGCTCTTGCAGTCTACAGCCTTGAGTATTCAAATTCCATAAACGGGAGAGTAATCCCATTTGTGGTGGCAACTCGACAATTTCTGGATTGCCGCTTATATTTAAAACAGAGAGATTGTTAAGCTCGTAAATATTTTGTGGAATCTCTTTTAATTTATTGTTGCTAACATCGAGCATACTGACGTTAGGGAATAACAAATACAATTTCGAACCAGAGTAAGTTATTTTCGTATCTTTATCTACATTTTCTTCTTCCAAATTTGGCATTTCCCCGTCGTCAATCGAAGTCAATTGGATCCTGTTTAACAAATTGTTGGTAAGAATCAACGTTCTCAAATTTTCTAATCGTAAGTGACGTCTGTGCGTGCAAACTGACATGAGAACTACGTCGCGTAAAGACGTTGCCGTCTGTCGGTTACTGCCTGGAACAATCGGAGATTGTACATTTGTAGTAGGACAATAGCACGCGGTGTTTGCTTGCTCCGTTAAATCAGCACCATCCACTTGTGGTAAACTGGGCCATCGAGAGATCTGATTATTGGACAAATCTAATTGTTTTAAGCTCGCAGGGTAGGATGTTATATGGCTCATAGATCGAAGAGAATTATAAGCCATGTTCAACCTCACTAAAGTAACAGCCAGGCACGGTAATGCCACTGGAATACTATTAAATAAGTTGTGCGCCAAATTTAGAGACGTTAATACCGATCTTACTCCGCCTTCGTTATCATCCAAAATTTTTTCTGAAACATGGACCGATCTGGTCCAAACATGTGGGCGATTCATTTCGATGATTTGTGCATTCGCTATTTTAGTGAACGATTCAAACTCTAACGAATCTTCGCGTGAAATAGCGAGTTGCGACGCTAAGCTTCGACTACTGGGGCTATTATTTAATGCGTCGTCCCGTTGCGATTTTCGAGAAATATTTTGTGATACTTGACTAGGGAGATCTTTTAATAAATTGAACGATGCATTTAATTCCTTCAACTTTGGCGCTCGCCATAAATTGTCTGGAAGACATTGCAGCTTATTGTTGGAAACGTCCATTATCTCCAACGCAGGTAGATTCATAATAAATTCCGGTAATTGTTCCAGTCGATTGTCTTGGAGATACATCTCTTCCAAAACCGGACACAATTTATCCTTAGGACTTTTTGGTTCAGCAGTCAAAGTGTCTATTTTATTCTGAGCAATGCTAAGATACCGTAGACTTTGTAAATAAAATATAGAGGATGGTATAGAGGTGATGGAATTATGAGAAATATCTATCCTTGTAATGGCATACAAGACCAGATCGTTGTTCTTGGCGCTCAGTTTTTTGTTCACGTGCAATACGGCATCGATTAACCATTGAGATCGTATTTGCGAAAGGTGACACTGTTGATCATGCCAGTTTATCATTGTTGGAGTATTTGGAAATAATGTCGAATATGTGACGTTACCGAAAGAAGATAACGCAGAGAAATGAGATGTTTGTGTACATTCGGTCATGGCTTTTTTGTTGATCTTATACTCTGAGTCGGGGTAAGCTTTTATAGATAAGAGCTTCGCTGTCAAGGGTTCATCTCGATTTTGTGCGGCAATTTTGATCGCTTTGCATGTATTATCCACAGCACCATGCTTCAATAAGAGCTCAGCAATTTTTATGTCGCGCTGCTGACAAGCTACTATTAATGCATTAGAGTAATTACTTTCTGGATCGCTTTGATCGCAAGGAACTTTCACAGGTAAATTTGGATCGGCACCTGCCACTAACAAAGCAGTGACGACTTCTGTGTGTTTACCTCTCACGGCAGCGTATAAAGAGGTTTCACTAGCATTGTTGCAGTACAAATCTAAATTTAACGGGCATATCATATTGTCATCTTTTTTATCAAATGCTTTACTCCTAAAATTTAAACTAGACATTAACCTCTGAATTCCACTTGAAATTTTCCTTTTCGACATAGAAAGTGGCTGTGAAACTCCCATATCTTCCTCTTTGATTTTTCTTGCTTTTACTCTGTAATTTAGTAACAGCTCTACGATTTTAATATTTCCAAGCATGCTAGATATGTAAAGAACATTCTGTCCTGTAACATCTTGAGTATTGATATCAAATGGCATGTCATATTCAAATTCTCCAGACGAATCTTTGTAACATTGGTATGTTTGTTGTGGATATTCGAATCTTAACAGCAAATCAATAACCAAATGATGACCGTTTATAGCTGCTGCATGAATTGGTAACCATTTTTCCACTGTTAAAGAGTGAACCTGTTTAGGAAAATGTCGGAGAAGCAGTTCCACAATCTCTACCTTACCATTATAACATGCTATGTACAATGGACAGTACTTTGTAACAGGATGTATTCTGCAATCTGCGCCATGATCTAGAAGTATTCGTACTATATCTTTGTGACCCATTTCACATGCTATAAAAAGTAGAGTATTTGCTCCATTTGGTGCCATGTTAATAATATACTCCAAATTGGTAGTGATTCCTTGAATAATGTTTTTAGCTGCCACTGTATCTCCCTGAATACAAGTTGCACGCAAAGACGCATGCATTGCAAGTTTCGCCAATTCATATTTCTCGGCTGCCAATTTCAATAAATTTGAACAAACGTCTTGCATATTTTTTTCAGCTACATCTATTGGTTTTTGACCGTTATTGTCCATAATCATTAAATCAGCATTAAATTCCAAGAGTTTCTCAATATTGGAACTATGACCATGTTCTGCACAAATATGTAATGGTGTTCTATAATGACCTCTTGGTCCACATGGTATATTTGGATTAGCACCAGCAGACAACAATACATCCAAACACCTTGAGTTTTCTGTAATAGCTGCAGCATGCAATGGAGTTCTACCCCATGAATCTTGACTGTTTATGTATTGTGCATGCTCTCCTCGCAAAAGATCTTCTAATAGTTCTGCGTTATCCCACAAAGCAGCTTGGTGTAGTAATCGGCCAGGAAAATCTTCATCAATAGGAGTATAATCCTCCATGGCTTAAACTGCAAACACATACATTACATTTTAACATGATCATGAATATTTTTTATTTGGAAGCAAATTAATGCACATGTATACTTACAAATTATATGTATAAATTCTTTTGATTTCCAATTATTATATGTTCATATTGCCGATATAGTCTTCTTTTATGATATTTTGGATATAATCTTTTATTTTGTCTCTGATCAAAATTAAATACTTTATGTTCATTGCAAAGTACATAAAAGATTTTACAAATATTTATGTATTCAGATACATCCACTATATCTAAAGTGGAAGTTAAATATTTAAAATCGTTTATATACATTTGTAAAATTTCAATTGCTTCTTTGCTTATTCTTACTTTAAAGATATTTCACAATTTCAGTTTACTTTTTCTAATATTTTTCAATGTGTTGTTATTGTAAGGATAATAATAACACCACTACCACCTTTTCTTCATTGTTGATTATTGTGTTAAACAATATCATGTTTAAGATTCAAAATGCGACTCACAAATAGAAAACTATTAACTGGAGTATGGTTGAGTAACATGTCGCAAAAATCATGTCCAATCGATTTCGAAAACTTTCCCGCTACTCACAGTGCACATGTACAATTTTGTTTAATGTTTTCCCATTGTTTCTTTCACACTCACAGAATGACGGTTCAATTGTCAAAATGATTTTCAGAATGTGACACCAGTGCAACACTAAACACAACACTCGGCAATCGCCATTTTGCCAGTTCTCTTTATCGACTGTACGCACCTTTAGACGCAATTTTATGCATCAGAAGCATCGGATCGATTTAAATAAACAGTATTACCTTTGATATTACATAATGTCATTACTGACACTTCCCATCAATTGACTACAATTACTCGCGTTGCACAACTGTGACAATGCGTTGCTGTTATTACATTTACACTTTTTATTCGATTTCAATTAAGAAAATAATTTCTTCAATCGAAATTAATCGTCTGGAAACTTTATACATTATATATAATGCAATATCTTTCCAAAAATTATATGTTTCATAAATATACTAAATATTTTCTATAACAATTTATATTTTGCGTAAATATAATGTAATATATTTATAAATTATAAAATTAATAATATGTTGTATTCATGTATTTTTTTTATATTTGTATTTTTTTATTTAACAAAATAAATTAACATAATAAAGAATAACTAGCAAAATAATATTTTATAAAATTTGTAAACATTAAATGGTACACTATTGATAAAAAAGAGTACTGAGATTGCTATATGTATACATATATTCACAAGTAAAAAAGTATCGAAATTTTGAAGTAAATTAACGAAAATGTGTTGATATAACATATAATTTATAAAATGTCTTAGATAATACTCGTCTACAAAAATGGGCGCAATACATGTTAAATTAATTCCCGTTTTCTTTAAGTTCAGGTTTACGTTGCATACGTTAATTGTAAATGAGATCAGGCCTTGATCCGAATATCGAATGCATCGAACTAAGAGGTTTTTACACGAACTATTTATTATCTATAGTGTGTTCAATCTCTGTTCATTTCTGTAAATGTATAATGGTAGTATGTTTTATAATTTTCTAAATTTTAAATTTTCTAATAAATCGCGACATTCTAATTTTCCATTTCCCGAATGTTGTATATACATTCATAGTTAAAGATAAAGGCTCTAAAAAACATAGAAAATATTCTTGGAAATAATGCGATAAAGAAATTTTATTTTAGAAATTTTAAGAAGTACGCAATAGTTTCAATTAATATTTAAATTAATTTTACATTCATCATTAATTTTCTTCAATGCTTTCGCGCAAATTAAATAATTAAATGCACGGTAATGTTCAGTACTGTTTGCATTGGTACTGTCTGATACTGTCGGTACTGTCCAGCACTACTCGTATCAGACATGATGAGATCCGCCATAACTTCTTGGATGGCACATTTCATAGTGAGATCCGCCATAACTTCTTGGACGGCACATGCGCACTTTGAATCGGATCTAAATAACGGCGAAGTTTCGTCTCTGTAAGTGTATTCTGTGGTATCGTGCAAATCGTGTTGCAAATTCATAGGGGTATAATTTGGTATAATCTCAGGCTATTTTGTTAACTTTAAAAAAGTTTAGCTAGAAATGGCGAGGATAACAGCAGTAAAGGAGTCTTTGGAGAAAGCACTTCGGGATGAGAATAAATTCTGGACGAAGTATTTTGCAAAAATTGAGAAACAAACTGGAGTTGACCGGATTTTTGTATTCTTAGGTATGCATGTTAGGTTATTCAGAGCTTTTTGTGTCAGTTTTTGTCGTTACCTACTCGAATTGATTCATTCTCGCGTTACGCAACAAGAATCTATTGTAAATTTTCCGCAGTAAGCATCATAATTCAACTTGATTACGATACTTGAAATATTGAGAAACGTACAAATTTTTTGTACGTTTTGCTTTTGCACTTCGTCATTGTCGCAAAAAACTACTTTAACATCGAGTCCTTATGATGAAATTTGTTTACTCTAGTAATTAAATATTGAAATTGATAATTATTGCGCAAGAAATGCCTCAATGTTGTACGTATTATGTGATTTACATGTCAAATATTTACGATTTCATCATATTTTTATACTGTTTGTATATTTCGAAGGAAATTTATCTAATAATGTTATGGTATTATTGAACCTTTCAGGCTCTGTTGTAGTTTTGGCACTGTATCTGGTATTTGGAATTGGACAACAATTAGTTTGTAATATTTTTGGATTTGTATATCCTGCTTATTGTTCCATGAAAGCTTTAGAGAGTCCAAAAAAAGAAGATGATACGAAGTGGTTAACTTATTGGGTTGTTTTCGCAGTATTTACAATTGTTGAATTTTTCTCAGACTATATATTATGCTGGTTTCCAGTTTATTGGCTCTTCAAGGTATAATTATGTTTAATATTAATCTTTTTACTTTGAAGAGTATATAGTACGTTTGCCTTTTAAAAGTGGTTGCTCATGTATGAAGATCTTACATATATTCCCATATAATGTATATTATATTATATTTTTCTTTATACTTTGCATACAAGTTATCAATGTCAACTAAGTATTAGAGATCCTACCTTCAACCTCAGACATTCGAATGTCATGAAAAAATTTCGTAAATTTATCTTTATTTTTGGACTGACCCATGCATTGTAAGCAGTAGAGCTTTTTATATGTCAGCATCTTGTTTTGTCCATGGCAGGCACTTTTTCTCGTAAGCGCCCTGTACCATAAGATTAATATACGCTACAAATCATTTTGTGAATAGCAAATTTTATTGTTCGTTACAGTGCCTTTTTTATATGTGGCTAATGGCTCCTATGGAAAATAATGGTGCAATAATTTTGTACCGTCGTGTCATCAGACCAAACTTTTTACGATACCATCATAAGGTGGATGAATTGATATCAAATGCTCAGGATGCTGGTACATTTATCAATGTTAATTAGATAAATTATATAATTATGATATAGATCAGTTTTTATAAAAAATTTTTTTATTTCAGCAGTTAAAGCTGCAGCAAATGCTCTTCTAACAGAAAAACAGGAATAAATAGCACAATATTTAATTTTAAAGATACCAACATCATGTAAAATGTTTTCAAAAATGTTAGTTTCTTCTTCTCACCCATTCCTAATAAAAAAAAAAGATATTATTGGGTAAGATTTTCTGGCAGGAATATGTAGTTGTACAAGTAAAATTTTATATATTTCTCTATTTATATATAGAGATTTTAAGTGCCTGTAATGCAATCTACACAAAACTTTTTTTCTGAGATTATCAATAGGGAAAATATTGAATAATTGCTGTATGTAACTGTAATTGGATGCTAAATACAACTATGTCCTATATTCATAATTGTAATAAAAACAATATTAATATTATTTTTAAATGACTTTATAAAAAACACAATTGATTCCTTGGAACCAAGTAATATAAAAGTTACAAAAATTGACGTTTTGTTCTAAGTTTGCTAGTGAAGATAATTAACGAGGCTTGTACAACAAATTATGCTGTAGATATAATTTAGTAATTTCCTATGGATTATTTCACGCGGATTCAGACACTTTCTGATATAGCATCTTGGATTTTTGTGAAATTTGGATATGTTGTAGTCTTTAGTGGTATTTGAACGTGTCTCAAAGGATTTTTACAAATTTTGAAAATTATCGGTTTCACTGTTGTTTAAAGTATTGTGCCATCTTCTTTTTAAATATTTTTTGCTTGAACCGACAGTATTTTTATTTTGTACCTTAATGTCTTTGTTCTTTAATGTTCAAGCTCTTTTTCATCCGTTGACTAGTTCAATAGTTAAAATTTGTTGAAAAAAAGAGAGCTCAAAACTTTAAACAGCTGTAAAATTTTCGAAATTTTTAAAAATCCTTCGAGACATTTTTAAATACCACTAAAGTCTACAACATATTCAAATTTTGTAGCAAAAATTTGTAGCGTGTAAATCGGAACTTTTTCTTATTGCGCACGTGGTCCTGCACGCAGCCGCGGTACAAATTGCCACACTCGCGGGCGCAAATCAATCAAAAATAAAAAGAAAGAAAAATCTAAGAAAACACAGGAGGGGTGCCGGTCCTTACGGTTTCAGGCTTTCCATGAGGGGGTCCGATCTAGCTCAAAAGGGGTTCTATAAGATCCACTCAGAGGGAATCAGTTTTATAAAATGTTAATAAAATTCTTATAAACAAAAAAAAAGAGAAGATAATGCGAAGCGCTTATCTCAGTTCTCTATACTCTCTGGCTAGTATTTTACGGCAATGCCAAATTGTAATTTTCCTTTTGATATTCTCAACGGTGATCTAATTAACTCTCTTGAGACCGTCCTTCTATTTTCGAAATTTCGTGTCTCTTTCTGCTAAAAAATTCGTGGGACAGTCACTCTTCGTGGCCGATTAGAATCATTCTACCTATTACAGGACGGCACCTGACGGCAGACAGCCGTCCTTCATTATTTCGTTTCGAGGAATTTTGTACGTTACAAAACATGTGTTTGTGTGCCATTCCAATTATATATATTTTAATTTGAATCCATTAGCAGTTGATTTCTTTGTGAACTAATATACAGGGAGATTTAAAAAGTATTGAACGCTTTTAGAACTGTGTGACTTAAGTTATTTTCTGAATGTTTTAAATTACGTAGACTGAGAGTGACCTTCTACAAATTGGTTCTGAAGAATAACACATTTTTCAATATGTTCGCTACCTTTTTAATCACCCTGTATTTTATATAGAGGAATGGATCGATTAGCCATATTTATATATAACGTATGATGTATATTTTATACATAAATTGCATACAAATTGTACATCACTGTTAGTATCTAGGAAATTAAATTCTTGTTACATGCAAGTTAAATGCTACAAATGTTTTTTGTAATAATGTTAAAACTAATGATGAAAAGGGATCATGTTCTTCAATGATTTATTTTACTAAACGTTATGCGATGTAATTGCAACAATGTAATTATACTTAAATATACAAGGTTTTGCAAATCCAAACAAGAGTCTTATTATATTATCCAAATAAAGGTATCTCTATTACACATTTTTCAATTGACCACTTATTTCTTGTTACGGCATTCGGAAGGTCGCTATGTTACAAAAGAAAATCCGTTTCTTCCAGCGTATTTCTATAAATATATGTAAACATGCGATGAGTCAACAAAAAAAGGTCTGCGCGATAACAGACAATATGTGAGCATAAATAGATATGGCACAGACAATAATTGATTTACGTACATTTCTTTAAAGTGCAACTTTTCCGCCGTCAGCGCAAGGTTTCTAATATTTCGAATCGTGGATGCAGCGGCGATTTGCACTTCCAAATCGTCCGATCCAACCAAACGTAGTACATGCTATAAATAAATTTACGATATTAATGTGTTACTAGTTTCGGTAATTATGCAGAAAAGGATGCTCAACACCTATTTCGCGGATTTTTAAATGTATTATCGGTTACATTGTTTTGAACAACTTTTTCCAGCTATGTGAACTTGGCACCCGACTTTTCAAAAATTAATTTTTTTTTATAGAAAACGATAGTATTTCGTTTGTACCTGATTGTACCTTCAATAGTTTCGTTTGTACCTCGACCAATTAATAATTAAAAAAAATTTAAAAAATGGTCAGCACCCGACATCGAGATTTTTGAAATCGGTTTTTCCCGATTCTATAGAATCGTTTGTACCCGCCGGAAACGTCTTTCTTTTCGTTTGTACCTCAATAGTTGAAAATTAACGAACTTCACTTTTGCGCGGATCAACAATTGCTATAAAATTTAAACTATTGAGGTACAAACGAAACGAAAAGCGGTACAAACGGGTACAAACGATTCTATAGAATCGGGGAAAACCGATTTCAAAAATCTCGATGTCGGGTGCTGACCATTTTTTTAATTTTTTTTAATTATTAATTGGTCGAGGTACAAACGAAACTATTGAAGGTACAATCAGGTACAAACGAAATACTACCGTTTTCTATAAAAAAAAATTAATTTTTGAAAAGTCGGGTGCCAAGTTCACATAGCTACTTTTTCCTATACATGTTACCACTGGAGACGCTTAGTTTTCGAGATATTCATAAAAAAATGTTCGATAATATTACATTGAATTCTACCTATTTACATACTAGAAGAAATACTACTCCGAGAAGTCTCATAATCATATATTTTACTAAATATTTTTTAAATTATGGTAAATGAATCTTACCTAATATTCTTTCACGGTTGTATTCAATGAATTACAAATTGGCTATCATATTAATATCTCATTATTATAAAACTGTCAGCGTTTTCATTTGAATCTCATAATGCAACAGTTATTAATGCTGTTCGAATTGAATTAAAATGTTGTTCTTACAAATGTTAGAAAAAAAATTATTGAATCATCAAGTAGAAGAATGTTTGATTTAAATTTTCTCTTAAATATCATTTTGATATATTATATTCAGGGAAGGGCAAAATTTGATTCGAGTAATAGATAATCGAATAAAAGTAACGTATAGTAATTTATTTGTGACATTTATTCGATTTAATAGTTGCATTTCTACTTGTTCATTGCATAATATTTGATTCGATAATTAAGTTTTCAATTTTTATTTTACAAGTAAAGGAAAGCAGTTGTGTCTGTGTTTCATTTATTACTCGAAATTTGTATCTATTTTATTTAAGATACGAAATAGTTTTCAACAGATTATTATGGCGAAGAACAAATGAAGATTATCATACCTTTATTACGCCAGAAGTATGCATAGTAATGCAATTCGTGGGCTCTTTACTTAAATGATACGCTGCTATGCACACTCCTCTAAGGACATTTTTATTTTTGCTGGTCATATAATTAACAAGTGGTGCGACTGCGTTTAGTTCGCCAAATTTGTAATTATTCTCCCCCCATTCGCTGCAGAAAGCTATGGCTAATGTCAGATTTGCACGCAAGTCCTCGTTATCCTGAAAAAATATAATGTTCAATAATCGAAACACGTACGATTAGTTGTACGAATTAAGGTATTTAAGGACTAAACATATATAAAATAACTAATAATTTATTTGCACAGATTGTTCAAACGATTAATGGTGTTGGATTTAAAATACGATCTGTTAGATATGCGTTATTGAAGAGTCCAACGAATACATCTTAAAATAGTTTCATTAAAAATCTAAGGGGACACTTGCGACGTGGTTCTCGTTAGTACCAAACAATATTATACTGTTATCAATATCATGAGAAATGCTTATATGAGCAATACAATCATACTTTAACTTGAGTAATTTAAAGAACAGATTTTGTCATACCCGCCATAATCTTTGGATGTCTTATATCAACCGTGCATATTGTTTTTGTTTTGTAACTGAAAGAGTTTAAAGAGACATTAGCTTTTCTGATAGAGACACTATAGAAAAATGACATATTAACTTTCCTTCTATCCTTGTTTAACTGACTGACGGCCTGTGTTCAATCTACTGATTTCAAACTTCAATTTAAGGCTTTGTATTACGATAAATGATCATGCATTATAGATCGATAAATTTGTCTAAATAAATGCTATCATACTATGAATACAAATATATATAGTTCCATTTAAAAAAGTCAAAGGAGATCTTGGTATCTCCGTTAAAAAGCGCGTTAGTAATAAAGCAATTCATACATCGTATATCTCCTTCGAAACGATGCAACTTTTGTATGAAGTTTGTGCACAATAACTGGTTTAAAATTTATTTAAAGTGAAATAAGTTATTGCTCCGCTTTCGGTCGATCTCTCAACCTAATTTCTGATCCTAAGCGACTGTGTTTGGAACCAATCAAGGTGTCTTGAATAAAAAGTTCACGAATTACCGTTGTCACAAGCTTCGCCAATTTCTCCACCACACCGTGATCACTGAGGATACCCAGGTTTTCGGGATCGGTGGCGATTTCGGCGATGGTAGCGCATACTGCGCTGAGAACTTCGGTGTCCGTGCTGTCAAGAAGGCTGACAGTGAGCTCCAATCCACCCACGAATGCTCGCACCATTTCCGGTGAATCTTTGGCGTGCTTGATGCAAGGGACCAATGCGAGGCAAGCGTTTCTCTTGATTATGACGCTGGGATGTTTCAGTAACGACCAGACTAGTCGAACTCCATCCAAAATGTGTTCAGGATCGTTGATGATGTCCATGCACTGTTCATTCTGCGCGCACTCCTTTATCACCAGCGGTATGTTTTCCAATAGAGGTTCGTACGTGGAACTCAGCAATCTGACCTATAAGTCAATAGCGACGTCAACCCTCTATCGACTTCGTGATGTTTGTGAGAAATATCTTAACGGGATTAGGCAATTCAAATATCGATTTTTTTTCTATTGCATTTTTCGAAAGTATTATCCTTTCTGAATAAAAAGCAATTTGATTTATATGAAAATTCGCAATATTGTTCATTTTTCTCCCCGTAGATATAAAAGAAGTCATTTTACCAATTTATAACGAGCTATTTAATGAGAGACTTTTAAGTAGGTGTATTGGTATTTTTACGCAGAATGCAAATAAGAATAAAAAAGAACCTTTAGTGAATTAAAAGTTATAGAAATAATGGAAGAAAGGCAATTCTATTTTAATTGGAACAATTAGGAACGAAAGTTGGAGTTCGTGCCACAGCTGTATGTGCACAAGTAGACAAAAAGTGATTGGAGGACGCTAACATCGTGTTACAAAAAAGTACAAAAAAAGTCGAACTGAAACAAAAATTCGACCAATGACGAGTTTTACACGTGGTTCTAGCTTAAGGGGTTAAAAGGACAGATCTGTACTTGCTCTCATTTTGTTTACAACTAAAGGGAAAGGAAAGTATTTTTCCGACAAGAACGATTGCCTAATCCTCTTAAGGGGGGAGTCTGATCCAGCTAATGTATTTTTCTAATGCATATAATTTCCTCATATAATTAATTTTTGTTATTGAAACGTTTTTTTACATATAAAGGGACGTTCAAAGAAGAAAATTTGACAGTGTAGCTTTAATCTGAATGTACACATATGTAGATATAGTAGTCGCAAGGGAAGTATTCGGTCAAAACGGTGGGACATATAGCTCATCGAATTTTTATCCGATTCACTTGATTCAACGCTTAAGGGGTTAGTCGAAGTCAGGAAAATGGAAACGGACAGTTTTTTGTGTGTGTGTTTTTTAAGGTATTAAATAATAATTTTTCTGAATGAAACGTAAATATATTACAAAGTATGTCTTAAAGTACTATAAAAGAATTTTTGTTTTAAAAAAAGGTTAATTCATTTCGTCATAACAGGCGATAGCGTGGGTGGTCACTTGGTTTGCGGTGAGCAAGATTTCTTCAAACTGGTGCACCTAAAAACAAAACTAAAGGTAGATTTAGAAAATATATTAGACTAACGGGTCCCTGTATACTTTTTGTTTTATCCTGCATTGAATCGCTTAATTTTAGTGAAAAAATTGAAAATCAACTTCAAATGTACGCCATCTTGTTTTAAATTAATTTTTTCCAAAATCCTTCGTCCAGGGACCCGCTAAATTAATCTGTTTTCAAAATCTACCTTTGTTTTTGTTTTCAGGTAAACCTATGTTTTTAAATCATCGTCTACGTCATCGGCTGTTATGACGATATAAATTAAACGTTTCTTAAAACAAAAAATGTTTTTTAGTTCTTTAAAACATGCTTTATAATATGCTTAATTGTTACTTATGCAAATTATTATTTAATAACTAAAAAAAATCACAAAGAAATGTAGTTTTTCCTCTTCTTGACTGCGACTAACCCCTTAAGTTAAAGGTAATTAGGTTGATATTGTAGCAAGCACCCTCTGGATGGATCCATGGCCTGCTGGTGCTCGCGACCGGAACATGAAGACAGCGAGAAGAAGGCGATCGGATCGATCGCCTGTCAAACTGTCAGATTCGACCAAGACGCCATTGAGAGCAGACGTTCCGAAGTTATATTTAATTGCATTCCTATTGTACACATTTCTATTGTAAAGCTGGTTGTTATTTATTAAAGCTTGTGTTTACTCATTATGCCGAAACGCAACAATATGCTAATGAACCTCGACTCTTAATGAATTATTATTATAGCATAAAATTATTGCAAAATAACGGCCGACATGTATGGTTCATTTTCATGTGTAATTTTTGCAATTAACAATTTTTTTTTGCAAATTGAGGTTCATACGCATTTTACGTACCTACTAAAGAAAAAATTTTCTGATTTTATCTATCAGATGTTTTCCCAGGGCTCCACGTATCCCACAGTTTCGACTGAATCCTTTTCTTGGAAATAAGAACTACTATATCTATATATGTATACATTCAAGTTAAATCTACACTGTCAAATTTTCTTCTTTGAACGTCCCTTTATATGTTAAAAAATGTTTCAATAACAAAAATTAATTATATCGGGAAATTATATGCATTAGAAAAATACATTAGCTGGACCAGACTCCCCCCTTTAAAGGAAGAGTCGTTTTTTCTCGGCCACACTTATCGATTTCGAGGTAATGTTTGGAATTAATTTAAAAAAGGATCGTTATGTGTATAAATATGCAACTTACACCATAGATTTACTTAAATTTTCTGTATGTATATGAATTTACAACAAATGCTTTGTTTTTAGACCACGCACGCTCTTAAAAATATTGAAAAAAAAAAATGAAAATATAACATCATTTATCCTCTTTATGGAGAAACTTCCAAAAAGACAGTCAGATTTTAATTGAAAGAGATATTCAGGTGACCTGGGTGAACCACCCTGTATAGCGCATGCTTTTCTACCGGCAAAAGTAGGAAGATTATACAGTTAGCCTGTTTTAAATGCTTCTCTCTGTCCTATTCAGTCTTAAATTTATTAATTTTTAAATTAATTTAAAAGATACAGAATTTTATGAACAATCGCAGACATCTCTAGTCATTGTCGTGAATTCGAACCTAGATAAACCTGTAAGTAAAATTTTAAGAGAAAATCTCTATTTTTAAACATCGTGTTTAATTACCAACTTTGGCAGACCATCGTTAACTCTTAAAACGTCTCTGTTAACAGGATCCTTGCAACATTCTGCCAGAGCTCCTACGACGTTCACTAGCACATCCTCGTCCTCGTGCTCCTCTAAAAGAGGCACTAGAGACAGCACCAAACCGTTCTGATTGAATCTTGCTACATTTTCTGGGCTCATAGCACATTTCCAGATTCCACCTGTGACTGCGGCAAGCAAACGCTTGTTCTTGCAAACATCCTCGCTTTGCACCAACTTGCATAACATGTCTAGACCGTTCGCCTCCCGAACTATGTCCCTAGCGACTTTATTTGGGCCGCAGTTGAATATAGCCAAGGCACAATTCTCTTTCAATTTAATGTCCTCGTTTTCCAGTAGCCGCACCACGTCGTAGATGATGTCCGTATGCTCGAACGCTTCACGAAACACTTCCTGAAAACGATATTCAAGCCTTTTATGGTACAATTCTTCGTGATTAATACCAGTCCTGAATACTTTTTAAATGATGTTATTTGACATTTCATTTCAATTAACACGTTATTTTATTTCATAATTATTTTCATACTTGTCATCATGTTTGAAACAACATTATTTGAACTATTGCCTATATAATAATAATGTATTATTATAGTTTGTAATTATTTGAAATAATTGTAAAATTGTTCTTCACGATTATATCAGGTGGAATCACAAGTATCACTGCGATTTTGAATTTGAAAGCAATAAAGATGAAATAGTGATCAATTTCACGTCTGTTATCCAATCTCAAGAAGAAATGAATGTATCGACATTTTTGCAAGGTAAAAGGACTGATCTGTTTATGTTAAATAATTATGTTTAATAATTATACGGTTAGAAGAGTCGTTTTTCTGAAGATTGACACTCCCCTTCTATTCTCACCACCATTGAAATGATTATTTTTTCTTGCGACAATATTAGATGGTTCAAGACAAAAATCTTTTACACGTGAACTTTTTTAAAAAATTTTGCTCAAAGCAAACTGCTCATAAAGATTGTTTAAAATACATTTTGTTCATCATTCGAATTATGAGAAAGTTTGCCTACCATATTCGCGCACTGTTGAACGGCACCCATCATAGGTATTATCAAAGAGGTGTGTTCGGATTTCAGGAAACGTTCCATAAGCTTTACTACACCGTGTTTTCGAAGTTCTTCCCTCACTTTCGGGCTACTGCTTATAGAGTCCAAAACTTTTGCGCAACCTATTGCAACTGCTACCAATTCCTTCTTAGTTTCGCTTAAATCATCGTAAGATCGCCGTAGAATAGCATCTGGCACGTCCATTGCGTCCAACTATTAAATATCAAAAATGTATTTATTTATTAGAAATTCTAGTTAGCGCACAATTCCTTCCATGTTTTGTTTTTCTTTTTTTTTCCACTGTATAAACGGTTTTTTTTTTTTTGTTTCTTAATGGAACGTAAATAGTATGTATTAATTCTTTTTTATTGAAAAGGAAAGTATACTTGATTACAGTTAAACACAAAAGATAATGTTTAAGGAGTTACACTACTTTTCCTACCCGAATTTTCAGGCTTTTCCAAGAATTTTGATTAGAGTGATAACAAGATTTTGTTTATATCGAAGTACATTAATATATTGTATAAGTATTCAACTAAAAAATCATTTCTTAATTTTTTTATTTTTAAAAAAATGGTGACTCGGCAGACGATTTAATGGAGCGTCTCATAAATAAATGGTTTTACCGTGAGACACGATAACCCAAACCAGATTCAAGTTAGAACAACGAAACAAAATTAATTAGTTTCCTTGGTCCAAAAGCTAGTGAAATACATAGTTGTTTCAAAAAATATATATTTTTAATCAAATGGCGTCATTTCAAATCAAAACATACATCTAAAATTGCGGTACTTAAAGTTACAGAAAAAATACAAATATTAATTTAATAAAGAAAATCCTACGTATTTCATTAGAAAAATTTCATTGATGCAGACTACAACGTTTGCAAAATGTCGGCAAATAGCTGAACATAAACGCGGTGACCATCCGGAAGCCATGAATATTACAACGAACAACTTCCCGCGAAAGTCTTAAATTTAAAGTCACTGTGAAACATTAGAATATGTTAAATACATTTAAATCAATATCTATGATTTAGTTTTGAATAGGGTTTAAAAAATTATTTTTTTTATATATTTCAATCAAATCTTATATTTCACGATGAAAAGTTTAGTTACAAAATGGCAAAAGACTCACGATCAGAGGTATACCGCCTCGAATACGTATTTGTTTCCTCGCTTTTCTAATTCGTGCGATGATGGCCATAGTCTCTGCAGCTACAACCTTTATTGGAAACAAATTGAAAATGAAATATTACATTGCAATATGTGCTTAAATAGACTTAAGTAGATTTAAGTAAGCTTAAGTAGACTTCAATTTTTCGGTGATTCGTAACACTTTCGACAGAATGATTGTTCATGCAATCGAGTTGTAAAGAGTTGTATTGAGTAAATAAAAGACTAACTTGAATATCCCTAGCAGGATGCTTTAACATTTGAATCAACGGTGTTACAATACCAAGATCGATTAGGTACCGTCGCATGTCTGCGGAACTCGCAATCTGTAGTAAAACTGACAGAGAACCGTTCTGGCATTTTAGATCTTTGGTCTCGAGGAGGTTCACCAAGATTTCCAGACCTCCCATTTCTTGAATAGCTTTCTGTATGATCTGTTTTCATAACAAAAATTACAACACTATTGTTTCGGGAAAGAAAGTAATAGAAATCCAACGCAAATAGCTAGTAGAATTCTTGCAACTATGTATAGTTTGAATTCACTAGGAAGATTGCACTACATCTTCAAAATGTACACTTTCAACAAGTTTAGAAATCAAATTGATCATTGGAAAAACTTTTTCAGACGGAGAAGCATCAATGATGTTAATAGAACTAAAAATCATAAGTGTTTTTGTAAAAATTAATAAGAAATGTCTTCCCCAAAGATCCATAAGATATTATATTTGAATCAACTATGTTGCATTTTTAATCTAGTACTCTACTATACTACTCCATTATATCTTCATTTAATTTATAAAGTTGTAATTTCAAAGTATCAACCAAGAGAATAATCAGAACACCTTTAAAAGAAAACAATTCCAATTTCATATGAAATTTAATATAGTAAAATAGATTATCAGAGACACTATAAAAAAGAAAAAAAATTAACAAATTCATTATCCATATTATCGTAAAAATAAATAAAAAGAAATGAACGAGACACAAGAATTTTTAATTCCACTATTTTTCAATTTATAAATTTTTCTATAGAAGTATGTATTAATTCCTTTATTAAAAATATAAAAAATCAAACTGTTAGGAATACACGTAAAGAAAAAATACCAAAATTATGGTATCGTGATGGTTTCGTGCTTTTGAAATTTACAATTAACACAAATAACAGTCCTCATTCACATTCTTGTTTCTAAGTTCTAGGAAAAATAATTACTTATGTTAAATAATCAAATGAACAGATCAGTAAACGAATAATATTGTCAAAGAATGATTAGATTAGATTACCCTGCTGGTGAGATCGTAGTCCTTTAGAAGGCAGAGAGCCACCATGGTCGCGGTTTGATTGCCAGCTTTCATATATCTGATCAGTTTTTGTATGTGCCAAAATTCTGAGGGCACTTCCGGTGTGTCGTCCTTCAAGAGCCTGAGTTCATCATCGCTTTCCGACTCGGGTTCGTCATCAGAGCTTTCGTCTTCCTTTTTCTCGACGATTTGATGTACCCGAGGTCCAAAAGGTTCGCCAGTGACCGATGATATCAATGGCTTCGGTGGCTCATCCGATTCCACCTCCAGAATATCCGACTCCATCCTTGAAGTGAGTAAAATTATGACAAAATTGATCATTCATTGCGAATAACACGAAGCTAAATTTGATTAATAATCAATTGCAATCATACAGAAATACAGAGAAATTCTTTAAAAAAGTAAAAATATCGCGAATTTTGATTATTTATTTAATAGATACGAGTAAAAATTTCACGTAATAGTGCGTGCACGAAGTCGATGTTATTAAATGCTTAATAAGTTGAGACTTACGGTGGTATTGTTTCGATGGAAATCTTTTTGACAGCTTTCTTCCGTTTTGGCGGCATGGCTTTTCACCAGGAACTGACAAAATATATAGTTAGGACACAAGAACTTTAGACAAACAGGATCGACTTACAATTTACGTCGTTTTCTCTCGTATCTAATAGACGAGGCCGAAGCCGGTACTGCGGTATACCAAGGTATCGATCAAATACTGTATTCAAATTGTAGAGGATGAAAAGCTGAATTTTGTACACAACAAGGTGATTACTTGCACCTTCCTGATCCACACTTCCATGTCCACAAGACAGGCATTTTCATTCTCTTGATCTGTAGACATCTGTTAGTACGACTTTTTCCTGAACTTCCTCGTTTTCACAAGTATCGATTAAACAATGTCAGCAAATAGGAACATGTTCTGTTTAATTTTATGTAACAGTTACTTCGCAAAGTATTATTCATTGAACAGACCAAACATACCATGAATTAAACATATTAATTAGTGGACTTTTTTTCGAAAAAATGATTTATTACGAGAAAAGAGATTAAAGTAAAAATAAAATTAGAAAATCCGACACATTTTGACACACATCCGACACACAATGAAGCATAAAACTGTTTCGCGAGCATAAAATTTGGATAATTCTATTTGACGCAATTTTGTTATACATAACTGCCTTTTCATAGAGAATATTTATTTTTCGTTTAAATACACTTAGAGTTATTATAATAACTGTACTTCCAATCGTTGGAAACAATTATTGTATTATAAATATAATGGTCAATCTCTATAGTTTCGACTGACATTTACAAATGACAATAAAGCGATATCAAAATCGATTGTTTTCTATTTTAAATTTCAGGTTAGAAGTCTAAAAAATTCTTGTTTTCAATAGGCGTTTAATTAATGAAAAATTATAAATTTTTGGAGACAAAATTAACGAAAATTGATGTACAAATCGTTTCTGATTCCTACAAAAGAAGATTATCGACAAAATATGAATGTGTGCTATTAAAATGTGTAGACGAGGAATCAATTTACGCATAACAGAAATCTATAAATATTTATCCCATCATTAAATCGAAAGGTAAAAGTTAAATACGAAATTGAATGTGCTTGCAAATTAAAGAATTTGATAATCTCAGTCACGGAATGAGGGACTTCATGGAATGTCAAAAAGGTGGAAGTAAAGAAGAACTACGAGTGGTTTGTAAAATCCATAAAGACAAATGTTCCGTATACACATATATGCTACTCCGTTTTCAGTGGTACTGCTTTTGATATCTTTATCGGTATGGCTTAGCATATGTCGATGGGGATTCCGGTATAATTTGAAAGATAGAGAAGTAATTCTTTTTAAATATTAGTTTATAATATAGTAAATTTCATTTTTTAAGTATCAATTTAATTTGTTTATCAATTTTGATAAATGCATAATGATGCGCAATATAATAAAATTTTGTACTAACACATTTACGTCTTTAGGTTCTTTCCTGTTTAATACTATACTTCATCATCATTACTTTGTTAAATATGCTTTTTCTGGGTCATATGCAATTTTATTGTGATCGCCCACGAGGAGGAAAAAATTAATTACCATCAGTTGTGGCAAGTATACATAAAATATATAAAAATAAATAAACAAATTGATCGATATTTCCAAAAAAACTATGTAAAATTGTAATTTATTAACTTATTTTTTATAAACAATGACATTCTATATATTCTCGGAAATCTCTAAAATAGATAGAATACAACAAAAAATAGCTATTTATGTAAGTTACGAAATTAACAAAAAAAAAAAAAAAAAAAAAACAATTAATCGATAGAAATGTCGAAGCAATAAGTATTCGCACAATTGTTTAATTTTTAAAATTTCATTAAAAAGAAAGAAATTTACATTAATTTATAAGTATATAATACTTCCTTCGAGGGATTTCCTATTAATTTTATAATTGTTGCAACTCTTCTAAGCGTTAAATTAACTAAATTATTAGTTATTCGAAGTGGGATCTTCTTCAATTCCTCTATTAAAGTCTTTTTTAAAAGTACTTTACTGGAAATTTCATGTTTTCTAATTCGTACGAAGCAATAAACTAATGTGTTTACGTTATAAACTCTACTGTAAATGGTTCGTCATAAGAATCGTACAAATACTTATTGCTTCTATACTTTTATCCCACTTTTCGCATTTTTTTGTTAATTTCACAAATTATATTAACCAGTAAATGTTGTTTGGACTATATCTATCTTAGAGATTTCGGAGAATATGTAAAATATCATTGATTATAAAAAAAGAAGTTAAGAAACTACAATTTCACATAAAAGTTTTTTTGGGAAATTGATCGCTGTACGAATACATTCTACACCCACTGTACATATATTTTACAATGTTGTATTGTAGTATTTTGAATGAAGTAAATTTGAAACTATTTGTATTAAATCAATTGTAAGCGATCTCTTCGTTTTTTCCCATATATATATGGATCTAATTAACAGAATATGAAGTATTCAAATGAACCGCGTCTATAAATTGATCGATTTAATTTACGAAAACATCCGCATATCGGAATCTTCTGCTACATCCAGTAGTTGCATCGTTCCTTTTATTCATTTCAATTTTATCCCCAGAAGTGTGCATATTTAATTAGAACACAAGGTATTTTATTTAATTGATTAAATAGTTAATATTCTAATTTTTTTGAATGACAAGACTTGTTTTGAAATTAGTAATATGTTTTGGGAAAATACCTAACCTATAAACATATTATGTTTACATTTAGTCGATTTAAAAGTTAAACTAAAGGGTATTATAGCACACATCGAATTAAATAGATTCAACATAATAATTATTCGAGTTAAAAATCTATATTCAACATATTCAACGGCAAAAAATTGTTAATAATTATATCATAAATTCGTTTAACCTTTTCACACCTGGATATTATCCATGGTTTTTTATTGCATTTCGTTAATTGATAACTTTTGATTTACATATTATTACAGTAGCTTTTTGTGTAAACTCATACTTGATAATATGATATTGTTTTATTCCATAGTAGATTTTTATATTTGGCAATGTGGAGAAAATATAAATGAAAATAGAAGAGTTAATCTTTGCCAATTTTGATCAAAATAGTATCCTGTTAGAATAAAGGCTCATTGAAGTATGATCCTGATGAAACGAATTACGATAGAGGACATACATGTTTCACAACGCACTGAAAACATGTTAAACAGTTTCAAACAGCTTGTGAATGTACAGCATAAAATTTATTAGAACACATGTGCAAACATATATTGAACATCATACGGTTATTAACTTTAAAATATCATCACATTCAAAAGGGTTAATGTATTTTCATGTGCATGATATAATTATTAAAATAAACAAGAAATACATACAAAATAAGATTGAATTTCATTTGAGATTATGGTGATAGAAGAAATAAATTGTAGGAAGTTAAGAAGCAGATTAACATGGAAATCTTGTTTCAGATGAGCTGTCGACGTCATGCTCAATTTGTTGCTCGAACAGTTTTTGTCAAAGACGGCAATATAGAAAAAGCATGTCGAGTATTGAATCGTATATTAGGGCAGGAGAAGATTTTTGAGCAATTTAGACGAACTAGATTTTTTGAAAAACCCTGTCAGACAAGACGAAGGGTAAATTATGAGAAATGTAGAGCTATTTATGATGAGGATATGGACAGAAAAATTAAATTTATCTTGAGAATAAATAGAGAAGATCCATACCCTGGATGTTCTTAAATTAATATTTCATTAAATTCTTATAAAAATCTGTAATTCTGTATTCATACTAATAGTATGGTAAAGTATTTGTATTCTTACCCGTGATTCTATATAAATGTACAAAGTCAACAAAATAAATTTATAAGACACGATATGTGCCTTGTATCAAACTTATTTACAGTCATATACCAGCCCCTATTTATACTGTAAAATAATTCAATGGTGTATACAATATTTATAGTATATTTATTGTAAGCACACAACCACTACAGACAAGCATAAATAATATCTTTCAAATACTTTTTTGACTCATAGATGGTTTGGTGCGAACTTATAATAAATATATTGTAAATATTGTATATATCATTGAATTATTTTCTATCTTAACTCACAATTTTTAGCCATATTTCTTGGTACATATATATATACTACATATTGTTCCAATATTTTCAATTTAATATATACATTTCATTAATTAATCATTTTAAATGTAAGTTTAAAATAGTAATTAATAATCTGGTGATTAAATAGTATCTTACTAAATATACAGTACGTTTTAATTGGAAATTTCAATAATTTTGTATAGAGTGCTACGTTTTGTATTACATAGAAAACCGTGGTCCGTGAGGTGGCGCCATCTTTATGAATTACTTGAACCATCTACCCCGACAAAAATTTATTGGTAAGTATTTCTCTTCATTATGTAAATTCGATCATTTTTATGCTTTAGAAGAATAATGTAGTCTCACGATTATTTTGATATAGAAATGAAGATGTGATCAAGAGATGTGACAAAAAATGTAGATTTATCTTGAACAGAATAAAATACATTTAATACTGTAAATATTATTTTTTTAACATTTTTTAAACAAATTTTATTTATAATAAATAATAAATTGAAAGTATGTGGTCATGTAAGATTTAGTTCGTAGTACAAGTTTTTAACATTACGTAATACTTTAAGGTATAAGTGACGAAAAAAATTGTATATATTTTTAACAAATATGTTATTAACTTTTTCTTAGTTTTACTTTATTGGCTGTCATTTTAGACAAATTAAATTTTAGACTTAGAATAATGACTTAGAATAACATTTGTGAAACTTGAAGTCGTTTCAAACGTTAAAGGTCGATAACGTTTATTGTTTATTGTTAAGGCTAATAAAGAAATGAAGTTTGAAAGTAACTTTAGTACATTTATACCGCGACGCACTTTGTTGATTCTGTAGACCACGATACGATGCAATAGAAGACCTCGTCGGTCTCTCAATTTAGATCTATTTACCGTTCTCAAGAACGTTATATGTCCGTTGCAATGATTCGTACTCAATTTGAGTAGTCAGTCTTATAAGAAGAAATTAGAAGTTGGTTCTCGAGAAATAGAGGATGAATTGCACTATATGTGTGTATTATAATTTTCATTTTAATTTTTCATGTACAATTAAAGAATGAATGAATCGATTAAAATCAACAAAAGCTATCAACTATGCATCGTAACGAGTACTAGTCAAGTGCAGTTAATGGTAGTTTCATTTTTAAATTAATTATTCTGATTCA